ATTTATTTTTTTTTTTTTTTTAGCTGCTAGCAGCTACCACAAAAAAATTTGATTCTAAGAAAAATGTTTGGATATCGGATCCCGAAGAAGGTTTTGTTGCTGCGGAAGTTAAGAGTACTAAAGGTGATACGGTGGTGGTCGTTACCAGCAAAGGAGCTGAGGTTATCTTTTGAAGCGAATTCAGTACTCTATAAAAAACAGAAACAATTCCGTTTTTTGCCTTTAAATTGATTATATAAGTGTCGTTGATTTGTTTACTGTCAGTTAATACCACACATTTTTTTGCATGGGATCAGTTGAACAAATCTAAAAATATTTGCAGAAGACATTAAAAAAAGATGACACTCAACAAATGAATCCACCAAAATTTGAAAAAACTGAAGATATGGCAAACCTGACATTCCTAAACGATGCTTCTGTTCTGCATAACCTTCGTCAACGATATTTTTCAATGATGATCTATGTAAGTTAGCTTATGGTGTTGTTGTATCTGAGACAATAGTAAGAAATTTTGTTTTGCTTTTGTTTCCTCTTTTTCCCTGAATATACTGAAACAGTGTTTTTGGCATGACATATTGGTGAAATTTTGTGAGATTTTTTTTTTGAGTATTAACTGTTTGAAAATGAAAAAACGAAGGAAAAAGCGAAACGGGCAATTAATGATCAGTAGAAAAAAAATCCAGCTAAAAAATTTTCTTGTTAAGTAAAAAAAAAAGTGATGATAAGAATAACCAAAACCAAAAAATCGACGACAATAATCAACAGTTGCAAAATAATAAACACTTAAAAAATAGCCAGTGTTTCATCTTCAAGAAGTACTTCAGTGCTGTTAGAACACTTCAAAGGATTAGTTTTTGAAAAATTTTTTTTTTTGCGTAAAATTAACAAACAAAGATAGCTGTTTTTACTATTGGTTTCTTAATATATTCTATCATTAGTTTTTTTACACATTTTTTTTCTTGGTATATAGATCAACATTAGTCATAAAAATTAGAGCATTAGATTAATAAACCAAGTGAAAAAAAACTGCAATTTAATCATAAAAATCATCCAATGATCAGTCTTGGTATTTGGTTGTGTATCGTATCTACTTCAAAATTAGAACGAAGCAGCAATCTATATGATAAGTGCAACAGATAGTAACGGAGAAGTAAAAGCTGTTCAATATTGTCAACTAAGTTACAGTCAGTAACTATTAGCAACTTCACAGTACCAAATTTAGACATATTCGGGACTGTTTTGTGTGGTTATCAATCCATATAAACGTTTACCAATTTATACAGAAAGTGTTTGTAAAATGTACATTGGAAAACGTCGTAATGAAATGCCACCGCATTTATTTGCAATATCCGATGAAGCCTATAGAAATATGATTAACGGTACAAATTGGTTGTTATCAATTTATCAACTTATTCCTAGATTTTATTTCTACAAAGCAAAACACTTTTTTATAGAATTATATTTTATACATTGTTTAGTTTACTGAAAAGGTAAAATAAATGGCAGTTTAAGTGTTATCAATATTAGTGTTAAACGGAAAACAGTAAATAATGCTATAACTTCTTTTTTGTTTAATATTCTGCAAAATATAGTTGTTAAAATATCAGGAAAAAAAATTTGCTCATAATAACTGTCTCTTTCAATTATTACCTCTTGTCATTTTCAGCAGTTTTTATTTCTAAAAAAAAAAAAAAACTTTCTACAAATATTACTCAGCAGTTTTTTTTTTGCTGCATTTTCCTAGAAAAATGTTGTTTTTGTTTAGATCGTATGAACCAATCGATGTTGATTACCGGTGAATCAGGTGCCGGAAAAACGGAAAATACTAAAAAAGTTATTTCTTACTTTGCAACAGTTGGTGCTTCACAACAAATCGGGTGCGGCTTTTTCTAATTTATTTACCACAGTAACTGAACTGTAAAATTGTTATAGGTGGAAAAAGTTTCTTTTTTTTTTGCATTCAAAAGACTATTGACTGCTTAACGCTGATTAATTG